GGACCGGCAACGGGATCGCAACCCTCGGTGTCGCGCTCGCACCTCGCTCAGCCAGTGAGCGGGAACCGGTCTGTATGTGGGATCCGAACCCTCGGCAGGAGCGCCTCTGCGCTCCCAAGCGGTGCACTGTAGCAGTGCGGCTCCGGGCCGGCCCTGAATCTGTTAGATTTTATTTTGTTCGTTCTTGTTCTGAAGATCCAGGAGTATGAGTTAATCCATTTTAGTAATTTGCAAATAGTAGATATCAAGAGTCTTAGTTAAGGGATCTTCAAACTCTACTCATACTCTTGTTTTTAATCCATGACTAGATAGATCCCTCCAGGAAAAGGAATCAATTATATTTAGCTGACAGTAGTAGTAGAAGCTTTCAATCTGATATTTTCTTCCTCCCTTTCTTTCCCTCCAGTTGATATTATTTTGAAGAAATGACAGCTCCTTAAAAAAATAGGTCTGTGGGCACCTCTACTCTAGATCACAAACTTTGAACATTTTGTATACCATTATACTAGGGTAGGGGCGGTGCCCAGTTCCTGGGAAATACTTGTAAGTGTACTTGCTTGTCCTCGCATGGGTCAGCCAGCCCTGCCTCAAATTTGAATTAATATTAATAGCCAGTGGAAACCAAAAAAGCAATGATGGTGAACTTGTATGTGCTTGTGATAAAGTAGTACCCTTTCTAAGGTATTGGGTTTTTGAGAATGTTTCTTTGCTCCTGCTTATACAGGGCCTTCTGAAGACTTATTTGAAATCTGAACCAGCATACTGAATAGTCCCAAGCATTTCTGTGCCCTTGGGCAAATTCTCACTCTTTCTGTATGTGGATGGGCTCTGGGGGTTATATATGATTCTACCCAAGGGCTCTTTATGTATTTGATAAGGCTGGCCTAAAATTAGGAAGCTTTTCTCGAACTCCTAAAACTTTATGTTTTGGTCTCCCTGCTGATTTTTTCGTCAGTTCAAAGAGCATTCATTCTTGCTTTCCTCTCCTTTCTTTGTCTTCTTACCTAGAATGAACACAAATGGATCAGATGACCCTGAGGATGCAGGGTCTGGTGAAAACAGGAGAGTCAATGGGAGTAATTCTCCGTCACTCTCAAATGGCGGTTTTAAACCTTCTAGGCCTCCGAGACCTTCACGACCACCTCCACCCACCCCACGTAGACCTGGTATGTGTTCCAGCCTTCAGTACTGTGATTGTAAATAATGTTCTCTTTGGGAATTGATCCTCAGGTGTCAGGAGATCCTTTTGTGTAAGTTTTCTGGCTGTATATTTACAGCCAAGAATGATCTTTCTATATAGGTAATCAAGAAGTGCCTCTTCCCTAAATTTTCCTACCGGGGTGAAGTTACTGCGGCAGTGCTCTAGTGAGAATGAAAATCGCATGTGCATTGTATAAAGGATAGACAGTACAGATTTAGATTGCAACTTTCTTGCATGGTTTGTAACATATAAGTATGTCATACGGTCAAGAATTTGGTTGCTCATTACCATTATATGCTTTAAAAGGGCAATTAGTGAGTGGAAAATAACACAATGGTGCTATAAATGATATTCAGATTTTAAAGCAAAAGTTATATATACAACAAATGAAACATATTTTATGTGGTAAAAATGTAAACATCTACAGGTGAAATATCCCTTTTTCTGATTAGCCAGAGCAAATCTTTAATCTTATCTTTTATTATTTCCCTCTGCTAGCAGTTGGACAGGGAATGCAAAGTAGTTAAACCAAATATTATTAGAAAAGTAAATTGGTTGTCCATAAGTCATCTTTTAAAACAAATTTGTATTTAATTATACATCTTCCCCTTATTCTGTAAATAATTGTGTTAATGTATTCCAAGTCTTTAATGCTGTATAAAGGGTCTGCAAAAAGTTCATGGAAAGATTCATATTATCTTTTCACTCAATTTTTCTACGAGCTTTTTGAGGTACCCTTTTTTCTCTCTTCGTCATAATATTGCTGACTTCTTCCAGGAGTTGTTTTGTCAAGTATGTCTTGAAGATGTAATAAGTAATCAATAACTGTTTGTAAGAATATTGCTTATTAGTCAGACCTTCTGTATACATAACCAACAACAAAAATTGGTCTCTAACCTGAAGGGTTTCATAGGAAAGCAGTTTTAAGAATCTGGAAAATTACTAAATGAATTTATAATATCAAGAAATACTAATGCTTTCCTATTCTAAGTTTTTATTTTCTGTGGCATCAGAAAATCAGAATCTGTATGTGCTTTGCAATTAATAATGAGACTGAGCAAAGACCACAGTAGTGTGGTGGTCTTACAGAGGGAGGGAACATTCCTAGGGCTGCAAAGTGGAGTGGGGGGGAGGGTGGTTGGGGGACAATTGGGTGGGGATGCAGGGTATAAAAGCAATTTCTGGTAATTTATATCTCATGAATATTCAAAATAATAAAAAAAATAAATAAGAATAAGGGATGTTTTCAGAAATGTCAAAAATAGTAATAATAATAATGAGACATAGGGTAGATGGGACCCAAGAAGTTGTGAAAAGTCTGTTAAGTGGGAACATTGGCTATTTTTCATTATTTTCTTTAAGTAATTTGTGTATCTACATCTTAAAATTTATATATATCATCTACCTTTTTATTTCTTAAAGTTAAAACTCTATCCTGAATTTAGATTTCAGAGAATAAAAGATTCTTTTCCTATTTTTCCCAAATCTTTTATAGCATCTGTCAATGGTTCACCATCTGCCACTTCTGAAAGTGATGGATCTAGTACAGGCTCTCTACCACCAACAAATACAAATACAAATACATCTGAAGGAGCAGCATCCGGATTAATAATTCCTCTCACTATATCTGGAGGCTCAGGCCCTAGGCCATTAAATCCTATAACTCAAGCTCCCCTCCCACCTGGGTGAGTGACGTTTTTTGGTTAACATTTGTTTTCTTTAGGCTGCTGCATATATTCATTAATAAGAGAAATAATACTGAACTTTATTCTTTCAATAACAGTCTTCACAAAATTGTAACTGATTTTTAGGGGGTCTGGAGTCAAACCAAACAAAGAAAGCTCACCACATTTGAAATTTCCCATCTCATTTCCAGGGCAAAGTCGAAGAATATATTTTTTTATTGAAGGACTCTGAGCTATGGTTAACCAAGGCCAAGTAGTGAAATAGTCACCTAATTCAGATTGCTTTTATTGGAGGGGGAGAAATCCCTTTTTAGAATCAATAATTTTTTCCATCATAATGTCATTATAGCAATGTAACAGATAGTTTAGGAAACTGAGAAAATTAGTACTTACAATCCCATTTTAATTTCTACCGTTTATTTTAAAAATTATACTTTTCAGTATAGTTGTTATACATATATACATTGTGGCATTTAACTCAGAATGCTGATCAAAATTAATTGGCTGATAAATTAATAAACTCTCATGATGAGAATTTTAATTGATACAAGGATTATATTATTTGTGTTGGTAGTCAGGCTATTTTCCTTTTGGAAAGCCTACATGGGAAGCCAAATTAGAAGGTTGTTTGTGCAAAGGATTAGCACAAAGAAACTGAATGCTCTTGGAAGTCATTGGTACTTCCATGCTATGATAGTTTACTCCTATTTTCTTCAATTTGGGGATAAACCTGCCAAGGACAAAGAATACTCAGATTGGCGAATCTGCACACTTTCTCCTTTCTACTGTACAGGGACACGTGATAAAGGCTTATTCTTTGATTTCAATTTTTCTAGAATCCAAACAGGCCATTGCCTTTGGATTAGTTCAGCCTTTTTTCAGGTTTTATAACATTAATTATAGCATTCTTTTCTTTTTTTTTTTTTTTGGTTTTGTTTTTTTTTTTTTTTGGTTTTGTTTTTTTTTTTTTTTGGTTTTGTTTTTTTTTTTTTTTGGTTTTGTTTTTTTTTTTTTTTGGTTTTGTTTTTTTTTTTTTTTAAAGATGACCGGGAAGGGGATCTTAACCCTTGACTTGGTGCCGTCAGCACCACGCTCAGCCAGTGAGTGAACCAGCTATCCCTACGTGGGATCCGAACCCGGGGCCTTGGCGCTATCAGCACTGCACTCTCCTGAGTGAGCCACGGGCCGGCCTATAGCATTCTTTTCTACTCAAGTCCTAAATATACCCTGAGTAGATTGAGAGTGACTTTCGTCTCCTAGGTGGACTGACGTCAAGCCTCTGTAGGAATACAATTTGTCTCCTAGAGAGGACATTTGCATAGAAGAAATCTCATCCACTGTGTGTCATCTTCAGAAGATGATATTTCTTGACTTTTTTCTTAAATTCTGTTGGTATTACTTTATAAACTGACACGCTTATTTGCCTCAGTTCTATAACATGGTCATTTAACGGAAAAAGGCAGCGACAAGATTAAAAAGCCAAGCTACTCACGAAAGTATCCTAAGAGACTTTTTAATTTTATTTCTAAGTTGGGAGCAGAGAGTGGACCAGCATGGGCGAGTTTACTATGTAGATCACGTTGAAAAAAGAACAACGTGGGATAGACCAGAACCTCTACCTCCTGGGTAAGTATCTGAATTAAAAAAGGAAAAAAATTTTAAGGAAAACAAAATTTGCTTATTCAGAATTTTGAATTATATCTCTACTCAATCTTCCCTACACTCCTACTTTTCTCCTGTGAGAGGGAAGTACGTAGCAAAAGGTGGGACACACACACACACACACACACACACACACACACACACACACACACACACACTTATACATACACATACACCCACACCCACAATAATGTGCATACCCTTAGTAATCCTCTCCAGGAAATTTGTGCTAAAGAATAATTCACAGGAAGAAAAAAATATTTGCTGTATTTATTATTTTACTATTTGTAATATCACAATATTGGAAACAACCCTAAACAACCAACCAGGTAGAAATCATTTAGTTATGGGCCAGCCCGGTGGTGCACTGCTATAGTGCGCTGCTTGGGAAGCGCGGTGGCGCTCCCGCCGAGGGTTCGGATCCCACATACAGACCGGCCGCTCACTGGCTGAGCGAGGGGCGGGAGCAACACCGAGGGTTGCGATCCCGTGGCCGGTCCCGGTCCGGTACGGGCGCGACACTGAGGGTTGCGATCCGTTGCCGGGCACGAAAAAAGACAAAAAGGAAAAAAAAAAATCATTTAGTTATTATATGAGCATTTACTTAATTAAATATTTTGCACCCATTTAACATGATAAATAAGGAGGTAGTTGTAATTTTGTGAAAAAGTGCTTTTTGATATCTGTGAAAAGCTATATATACAACTTGTGTCCCTGTTATGATTGTAACAGTAAAAGGAATGTGGATAGAAATTGAAAACTTTTTTCTTAAAGACTGTTTGAGACTTACTCACTGAATATGCATTGCATTTTAAGGACCCAACTAATATATCTTAAGAACTTTTAAGAAATAAATTTTTAGAAACATGTAAGTTCACTTATAGACCAATTAAAAAATGTATAAAAGATTTCAGGTAAATCAAAAGTCATTTCTCAAGGTGAAATCTTATTTGTTTAACAAATATTTGTTTTAATTAGCTTGTTTTCGTTCTGATTTAGCTGGGAACGGCGGGTTGACAACATGGGACGTATTTATTATGTTGACCATTTCACAAGAACAACAACATGGCAGAGGCCAACGCTGGAATCCGTCCGGAACTATGAACAGTGGCAGCTACAACGTAGTCAACTTCAAGGAGCAATGCAGCAGTTTAACCAGCGATTCATTTATGGGGTGAGCAGCCTGTTATATAATAAACTTATAAGAATATTCAGTTTTTAACCCTTTCCTGCATATGTCATTAAAGCACTAAAATGAAGGTATGAGTAGGATGGCAACCCAGTTGTTGCTGTTAATAGGTATTATTTTCAGACTTTGTCTGGAATATTCTGTGTATGTGATCTATTCTTTCCTTTCTGTAATATCCCAAAGTCCAACCTCCTTTTCTTTTCTTTTCTTTTTTTAATTTTTTTCCTTTTTGTCTTTTTTCGTGACTGGTAACGGGATCGCAACCCTCAGTTTCGCGCCCGTACCGCGACTGGCAACGGGATTGCAGCCCTCAGTGTTGCGCCCGCACTGCGCTCAACCAGTGAGCGGACCGGTCTCCATATGGGATCCGAACCCTCGGCAGGAGCGCAGCCACGCTTCCAAGCGCCACACTCTACAGAGTGCGCCACCAGGCCAGCCCCAACCGCCTTTTCTTTTTAATGAAAAAAATTAAAAAGAAGTGAAGACAACTTAAGATTCATGAACAAAAGAATTGTAAAAATAAACCCAAGTAGTTTGAAAAGAATTAAAGCAATTATAAATTTAGTACTTCCTTAATTTAGCAGAGCATTTGAAGACTTAGGTCTAAAGGAACCTGACTCTTGGGCCAAGCCCGTGGCGCACTCGGGAGAGTGCGGCGCTGGGGCAGCAGCGCTCCCGCCACGGGTTCGGATCCTATATAGGGATGACCGGTGGGCTCACAGCACTCACTGGCTGAGTGCGGTGCAGCCGGTCTCAAAAAGGACAAAAAAAATAAAAAATAAAAAATCAATAAAGGAACCTGACTCTTAAGTGATTGTACAGAACTAATGATAGAGTTGAATCACTTTTTAACATTTAAAAGTAAAGTTAACCTAATAAATTATTTGGTAATCTGGGAGACTGAAGAAATTTTATTCCTTATAGGATTATGCTAAATATATTATTCTGGCTTTAGAACTATATTATCTTTGGTATAAAAACATGTGTTTTGGGGGCGTCAAAAATGGTTTACATTTTACATACTTTACAGTAGTATTGCAGCAGTAGTGATACATACACTAAAATATATTAATGCTTTCTTTGCTACGCAATCTTTGGTACTTGGAATTTCATAATCTTTCAAGTAATAAAGTATCACAGATCTCTTCTCTAAACAAAGGGAAATAGTCCTTTGAGAAATTTACTTCTCTGTGCCAAACAAGATGGATTTGAGTAATATACAGAACAGGAGAAAACCAACTCTCCAAGAGTTAAGAAAAAGTGGCCCTCTCCATCACTATGTCTTCCCCTCCACTGGTGTCATCCCTATTAGAATCTATCAGAGTAAAACAACACCATTCATATTCTTATCCTCACTAAGCATTACCTTTTTTCCTTTTCTCCATATTCCTGCTTCTTGAACCTCATCATTATAGTGCTTATCAGTCACTGATGCCGCCAAATTCACCTTTATCAGCAGCCTTCCTTTCACTCCCTGATTGTATGACTAAGATACCTTTCTTTCACATAACAGTTTCTCCTGCCAATTTCTCTAGAAAGATATCACTATATTCCCATTGCGAGTGGTTTTAGAGGTAAAATTAATTTTTGTCTCTTGCCTGCATTACCCTTCTTTTTATTTTTATTTTTTCTGTGCTGTTTTATATCTTCCTTTCTTTCTAAATTATAATTACCTTTGGTATGCCTGGCCAAATTTTTTCTGGGTTTGAATGCCTAGCTTGCCTGCCTTCTTTAAAACTAGTTTCCACATGGGTGTCCAGTGAAAACACAGTGGGCTTTGGAGTCAGGCACATCTGGATTCGAATCCTGGTTCCACAGTTACTTTCTGTATATGACTTTGAGTAAGTGACTTAAACTCATCAAGACTCATTTACTTTATAAAATACATATACATACATATATATACACACACACACATACATACATACACACAGCTGCCTCAGAGGGTTTTTTGGAGGATTCTATAAAGTTCCTAATGTTTGGCACATACTAGATATTTAGAACTGTTAGTTCACATCTCTTTTCTCCCTCATATCCACAACTGTAAATGTACTCTTTATCTCAATTTCTGGAACACCTACTATGTGTAATGATTCATTGTAAAATTGTTTAGTACTCAGTCTTTGGAACTTATTTTTGAATTACAGCTTTTATCTCATTATCTGTGTTCTTTTTTTTCTCCAATCCAAAATAATCTGAACGATGTTCTGAAATTCTTACTCTTTGTTCTTATTAGAGCAGTTCTAAATTACATAGAATTTAAACAGCCTATTTTAGTTACACTTAACATTACCAAAAATTGTGAACTGCAGTGAATGAATTTAACATTAATACCATCTACTTAAAAAGCAGAGGCTGAGAAAAAGTCTGTTTATTTAGTATATGAAGTGGTCTCTGCCAACCACTGTTGTTCTCACTGTGGTTGCAAGGCAATAGACTCTCATATATCCAGCATTTTTAATCTCAGAATGGATAGGATTGTTGATGAAACACTGTGTAATGGCTCTTCCTGGCCGGTGGCTTCACTGTGCATGTCCCTCGTTCATCTGTCCAGGGAAAGCCAGTGGAGTAGGCTTGGGTCTTAAAGAATGATGAAAACAGTTTCTTATGCCAAACTTCTCAGACCTGATTTATAACTCCAGCTCAAACCATGTATAGTGTTTCTCCCTGGCCTCCCTACTCTCACTCGTTTTCATAATTGTGTTTATCAGGAGCAAGGCCATTTCTTGATAGCTCTATCTTCCAAGAGCATTTAAATCAGAAGTGGAATCTCTCTCATATCCTTTAAAACCAGTCAGTTAACCTGGTTTCTGTAATAGGTCAGTGACATGGGGGAAAAAAGTAACAAAAGAGACAGTAGTGGAACTGCTCTAGATTGAGATGTGAGACTCAACCAAATGTAATGTGAGGACTTTGCTTATTTGTTAAAATCAGGATCCAAACAATCAGGCATTTAATTACAGGTTAGGTATTAGATGATAACAAAGTTAACATTGCTTCTTTGCTAGGTGTGATAAGATATTATGATTATGTAAGAAAATTGTCCACAAATTCTAAAGAGGCAAAAATGTAGGGGTGAAATGATGTTTGATTTTTAATTCAGCAAAGAAGAAGAAAAGAGGTAGATAAAGAAGTGTGGCAAAATGTCAATAATTGTTGAATCTTGGTGCCAGTTATATGGGGTTCATTGTCATGTTTTACTTTTTTGTTTTCTATAATAAAATTATTTTTTATAATAAATATTTAAATATTTTTCTATAATAAAAGCAGTTAGATTCTCTTGTTTGTTTAGTTGTCTTACTAAAAAAGAAAGGGCTCAACCAAGACTTAATGAGTAACCGCGTACTTATCTCTGCTTTATTAACCACAGCAAAACATACTCATTAACCCTACACAGAGTCACTATGACTTGTGCTTCTTTTTTTCTAAAGGTTGACTCTTGCTTTCCTTTTATCTTATCTAGTCAAACCTTTCTCTTCATCAGTGTGATAATTGCAAACAGAACTTTAAGAAGTCTTTCATACAGTTCTAGGTCCATTAATACCTTCCATATGGAACACTTTCCTTTTACTCATCTGACAGCCTGCTCTGTCTGCTCCCTCAACACCATTTTCACAATTCTTTGTATATCCCATGTTCTGTATGTGATCTGTTTTCAAGTTACACATGCAAGACTTTTCTCAGCTATCATATATTTGTCTAATTTTTATAGTACTGATGTAGTAAAATTTGTAGCAAAAAGGAAAAAATGGTCATTTTGGGGGTGAGGATTATATATTTGTGTAATATTTTAATTTCAAATAATTGTAAATGTTAAATAATGTTTGTAAAGGGTTTTTTTTTTTTTTTTTAACTTCACCAAAGTATATTGGCATTTGTCTATAACCATGCGACACTTCTCTAAGATGTGAACTCGGTAAGAGTGTGTTATGTTATACATGGCCGGGGATGGTATATCAGAACTCTATGCTTGCTCTCCAATAATCTGTTTTAAGTTGTTAATTTATTTTACCACTTTTTGGTTCTTTTTAGAATCAAGATTTGTTTGCTACATCACAAAATAAAGAATTTGATCCCCTTGGTCCTTTGCCACCTGGATGGGGTAAGTCACATTAGTTTTCTCATCAAATTCTGTTATTTTAAAAATTAGGCATTTGTGGGATGATATTCTGCTCTTGCTTGAGTGAATGTCTGAGAAATTTTTGGGGTGTGTTAGTTTAACTCTGGAGTGCCAAATAGGCATTAAATTCCCCAAATATTCTAAGTTGACTCTTTGATTACAATAAACTTTTATTGGAATTCATAGTTATTTTACTCTTATATTTAAGAATATTGATCACTCAGCAATAAAAAAGGAATGGACTATTGATATACACAACAATCTGGATGGACCTCAGGGGCATTATGCTTAGTGAAGAAAGTCAGTCTCAAAAGGTTATATACTGTGTTATTCAATTTATATAATATTCTCAAAATGACAAAACTAGAGATGGAGACAGATTAGTAGTTGTCAGGAGACAGGGTAGGTGGAAGGTGGGTACAAATACAAGAGGTAATATAAGGGGGTTCTTATGTGATGATGAAACAGTTCTATATCTTGATTGTGGTGGTGATTACATGAATCTATACATGGGATAAAAGAGCATAGAACTATACATTCACGTAAATGAATTCAGCTTTAAAAAGTGGTGAAAAGTGAACAGGGTCTTTAGTTAATAGTAAAGTAGCATTGTCAGTTTCCTGATTTTGGTATTTTACTATAACTATATAAGATGTCACCATTAGAAGAAACTGGTTGAAGCATACTTGAGACTCTGTACAATTTTTACGACATCTTGTAAGTAATAATTATTTCAAAAATAAAAAGCTTTAAAAATATTGTAATCACATTGGCTCTTCTAAAACAAGTTCAGAGTTTGGTTGAGTTGGCATTACCTAAAAGAACAGTATAAGGAGAACATGAGAGAGTGGCAGTTTGGTGCTCTACACTGTGGAGCACATGAGTATGTTGTTATTGGATACATTTGGTATCTTAGTTATTAAAACTTTGTTAACAGACTTTAAGATGGGCCTACCTTACCAGGTTCTGTTTTATAGTGTTATGTAATAGTCATAACACTCTAGTAAGGCTCCAGAATAAAGATGGCAATATTGAAACAGTTTTGCATGGAAGCAAAAGAGAATATAGAGGACCGGCCTGGTGGCACACTCGGTAGAGTGCAGCGCTTGGGAGCGCAGCGGCGCTCCCGTCAAGGGTTCGGATCCCATATGGAGACCGGTCCGCTCACTGGTTGAGCGCGGTGCGGGCGCGACACCAAGGGTTGCGATCCCGTTACTGGTCATGAAAAAAGACAAAAAGGAAAAAAAAAAAAAGAAAAAAAAAAAAAGAAAAAAAAAAAAAGAAAAAAAAAAAAAGAAAAAAAAAAAAAGAAAAAAAAAAAAAGAAAAAAAAAAAAAGAAAAAAAAAAAAAGAAAAAAAAAAAAAGAAAAAAAAAAAAAGAAAAAAAAAAAAAGAAAAAAAAAAAAAGAAAAAAAAAAAAAGAAAAAAAAAAAAAGAAAAAAAAAAAAAGAAAAAAAAAAAAAGAAAAAAAAAAAAAGAAAAAAAAAAAAAGAAAAAAAAAAAAAGAAAAAAAAAAAAAGAAAAAAAAAAAAAGAAAAAAAAAAAAAGAAAAAAAAAAAAAGAAAAAAAAAAAAAGAAAAAAAAAAAAAGAAAAAAAAAAAAAGAAAAAAAAAAAAAGAAAAAAAAAAAAAGAAAAAAAAAAAAAGAAAAAAAAAAAAGAGAATATAGAAAATGCAAAACAGCAAAGCCAAGCCAGTTATGGAATCAGGTGGAGTTTTATCTTAGAGTTACACATATTTCATAATATTGGTGTAAATTCAGAAAGTGACATTTCTAGAGAGTCATGTTGGAAAACATTGGTCCCCAAGATAGATTGCTCTAGCACTACTGAGTAATGGAGGAAAAAATTGACATGTCAAGATCACATGAATCTGGGCAATAAATGATATTGGCTGTATAAGCCTTTGTCTGAGAAATCCCATTGCTCTTTTATTAAAGTTATTTATCCTCAAAATATTCCTGTGAGTCAAAACAGTAAAGAAAAAATAAAAAACATGTATTAGGCCATACTTATAACTGTTATTGTTACTAGCTTGTAACAAAGGGAGGATATAAGAAAATTGTGAATTTCTGTCTTCAACATAGGCTGGCAGTTGGGAGGTAAGGAGTCTTCTGGCTCTATTGGAGCCCCAGAGTGGTTAGTGTATGGTTGGTATAAAGTACTTTAGAAGAGGGGATGTTGCCCTTATGTTGCAAATTGAACCTGACCTCTTAGATTGCATTCTCTGATGTGGATGGCTTTCCCAGCTTTATTTCTAAAGTTGTTGTACAAGGGTACTTCAAAAAGTTTGTGGATAGATTTGTATTATTTTTCAATTCTATTTTTTCAGGAACTTTTTGAAGTACCCTCATATGTCTGTGTAACAGAGGGAGAAATTGAAGCACTAAAGTGATATATTTGAAGGTCTTGTATTTATCCTCTTAATTTTATCGCAGAAAAACTGTGACCATTTTACTCCTTCTCTGGAGTAGCTGTAGGAAAAAAATGCCTCTTGCTCATAGAAATCTGAATTGTGGGCTATTAGAAAAGTTTTTCCTGCAAGCTGGTCCTTGCTTTCTGTATTTATCATTTTCCTCATCATCTAGATCTTTGTCATTTTTACTTTAGCCAACATCACTTTCCTAAAATACTGACTCTAAAGACCTAGTTTATCCAGGTTATTAGCTTCTTGCCCTGCTGTTTTATAGTCTGTGTATTTTTAGGTTTCACATTCCTGAAGTTGAAGTGGTGCCTTCTTCCAAAATGAGTTCATGATTATCCTACTCCTCGAGCTGAGCTCTGCTTTATGACTCTTGGCCTTCAGGGCATATGCCTTATTTGTGGAACCAGTGATAATACTGGTACTGTATCAGATGAAGAGAATCACCCCTCAAGATTGACCCAGGAAATAGAATCCCAGCTGACAGCCTGTGTTTTCATTTGGAGATTGACAGCATTATTTTTGTGACTCTGTATATATTTAATTCCAACTTCATCACTCTTTCAGATTGTTATATGTTAAGACTAGACCACCTTATAAGCTTATAAAACCACCTTAATAAACTGACAGTGAAGAATTTTTTTTTTTTTTGTCTTTTTGTCTTTTTACCCGTGTCCAGCAACGGATCGCAACCCTCAGTGTTGCCCCCGTACCGGACCGGGGACCGGCAACGGGATTGCAACCC